TGAAATTGATCCAAAAGTAGTCGAGGTGAACAATTGATATAACTACACCCTTTTATCAGCCTCTACCATCTTTCTTTGTGACAATATTGTTCTGTAGTGCCTAAAAAGAAAGGACAATAGCCCCCTCCTCTATGGAAGTCGAGTATCATGGCATTACTTTATAGTCTCTTGAATTCTTAACTTAAGTGGATGGCACTTATGTGTTCTTTAAAATGTACGAATGAAATGAAATTTGACCATTTATAAATAATTTATAAATTTTTCAAGAGTTGTAAGTGAAAAGACGTTAGTTATTTGAAAATGTTTAAACGATTTTTTTTTTTAACTTATAAGCTAAGATAAACATGCTCGTAGAAAATCTTCACATTTTATATATGATGAAAGAAAAATTGTATCAATTTAATGCATATTTAGAACTTTATAATCGATTTAAATTATAAATAGGTAAAAGTGAGTAATCGATAGTTGTTAATCCTTTGTGGTACCATGCAATATGTAGAAAATTTGTCATATGATCAATTATAAACAGAATTATAAGTAAGGGGCAAAGAATTATCAGTTCACAGTTATTAGAGACTAATCCAGCATAATGATTTGTAATTAGACAATTCAGTCAAAATAGTCAATTAAGCCATTGAATTATAATCAGAATAATACATTGTGAATTGACTAATTAATGAAAATTGGGAATAATTCTCCACTTGAAAATTATCCATAAGATTTTCCCTATACAAAGCCATCCAATAATTACCCAAATCAATAACAAAATATTGAAAAAATTGGACCAAGAAAAAAAAAAAACTGCAGCTAAAAATTCACTGGACCTGGGGACGCTGGACTAGGAGGACTGACTGCTGGTTTGGGAACCACTGATGGCAGAGGCGGCAAAGACACTGCTAGCGGTGGTGGAGGCAGTGGAGGAGAAGGAGGAGGAGATGCAGATGGATTAGGACGATTTTGGCTAGGACCATCACTAGCTGGCGTTGCTGGTAGTGGAGATATGGGATTGAGGACATTTGGGCTAGGATTATCACCAGGTGGCTGTGGCGGAGGGAAGATTACTGGGGTGGTGGATTGTTCACAAGATTCAGGTGTACATTTGTGGGTCTTGTGATGAATAGAATGCCTGAGTAGCCCAAATCCCAAGACCAGACCAGTCACTACCACCACTGTCACAATGAAGATGAAGATCTTGGTTGCCTTCCCCACATAGCACATCATTTTAATTTAACAATATTTTTTTTCTTTCTTTCTCTGGATTAGAATTGATGTAATGAATCAGATAATTCTTTTTGATGGGGTGGGTGGGTTGGTTTTTACCCACCTAGAACTCTGTTTTTTTTCCTTCTTTCTATGATTTCTTGTCATGTTCTTTTTGGTGGGAAGGACAATGAAGCACTTGGCATTTGGATTTTGGGAGATGCTGGAGGTGGGGTCAGAAATTGGTTAGGTAAATAGTATAAATTTCACCCACTGGCTAATGTCTTTAAATTAAATGTTTAAAACTTTTGTTTATTTTTTACACTTTATGGTGTGATATAGTGGCAAGTTGGCGTCTCATGCAACAATTACTTGGAATATTTGTTGCATGAAATTGGTAGATGCTCACAACAGTGTGGTGATGTGTGACATCAAATTGAAATTTAGTTTTTTATGCCCCGGTCATTGAGTCGGGGCATTAAGGCTTTTCCATCTAATTATTCTTGGGGACTGTCAGTTTGAACTTGGACTATGGAATTTTAGGAGTTAATTAAATCACAAATCACCAACATTTGCCTCTAGTTATTACTTGCTCACACAAAATAAAAGGTCACTAGATGCTCGCCTACTTTAAAAAAAATTACCCATTCATCTCCCATTTCAATTCCATCCATCCAACTAAGCAAAAAAGTCCGCGTGACAAATGAAAATCACACGTGGCCCATTAAAAAATGACAGGTGGATTAATTCATTTGCATTAATAGCGATTTCTTTATAAAAATATGGAAGAATTGTCTTTCCCTTTTATTTCAGCATCACATAAACTGCAACAGGAGGATTAATTCAGGTTTTTTCTTTAATTTCAGCATCATATAAACTGCAACAAGGCTCTCTCAGTGTTGTTTCAACAATTTGCAATTTAGAAGAGAGAAAATATCATAAAGTAAACCAATAGGAACCCATTTCATTAAAAATATCAAAAACATATGGTTTCTTTTGATGATTTTACAACAATCGACGCTTACACAACACCATCAACATTACTACATTGTCATCAACATACAACTACCAAAACATCTATAAGAACCTACCAACTACACATTTAAAACACCATACCGATCTGTTACCCCTCGATTCCGAGGTCTAAAGAAGCAAGGCCTACGTGGGGTAGCACGCCACGTAGGCAAGACAGTCAACGAAAAGCCAAAAGGAGGCCCAATAGGTCAAAGATCCAAGTAAGGCAATAGGTCGAGGTTACGTGCCACGCACATGATATGAAGGATCTTACGTTACCGACATGACATTGACTTAGAGGGT